TTGATGTCTTTATAGTTCAAAAATCAAGCATTAAAAGCGCCACCTTTAATGTTTACAACAAGAAAATTTTATCACTACATTATTAAAACAAATAAAACAGCAACTCTTTTCATGTGGTTGCTATATTCCAAGTTATTCAACATTTTCGTCACTTTTTAATGGTCACTATCAACAAAAAAGACAAACAGTGACAAAAATAAATCGCTTTATGACATGGTAATAAAATCTAACTTTCAACTTTGTAAAAAATTAATTTGTTTTGATTGCCGTGTAACAGCTGATCGAAAAGAAACTCAATAGACAAAACGCTTAAAAAGTCATGAATATTAAGTGATGCTAGTTGATTAAATTATTGTATACTAAAAGCAAACGCGCGATGAAAAAGAACTCAAAATTCAACTAAATTATAATGGCCATGATAATGCTCACTTAGGAAAAAAATATTGGATAAAAAATAACATTTGTTAAAATAGCTTAAAAAACATTAATTTTGTAGTATCAAATTCAGAGGTCTGCCTTTCATCGTTGTCATTTTTAAAAATCGTGTCATTCACTCAGAAAAACAGAAAATTTCAGACCAAGTTCTCTCGACACTGAGACAACAACTTTTTGTTCCTACCATTGAAAATGGGGAGAAATTTTGTATTCGGGTGTGTTGCAGTTTTTTCCACGCAAAAGCAGGAACCACAAATAATCTTCTGAATGGGTTGAGCGATACATCATAATAAACTACTTTCCGACGTGATTCGAACAACATTAAAAAATTTTTAAACAAATGTTTCAGTGTCGAGAAAAACTGGTGTCGAGAAAATTTGAGCAGTCATACCGGGACTCCAGATTTGCCAACCCTCATTATACCCTGACAGCACCCCATTACAGGGTTGAGAAATTGATGTTCAATTAATTTTTTTTATATCTAAGATTTTAAAAAAAAAAATGAAAAAATCACAAAAAACGCAATTTCTCGAAAATCAAAAGAATTTGAGCAGTCAGACTTGGACGCCAGATTTGCAATTCCTGAATATACCCTGACAGCACCCCACTATAGGGAGGAGAAATTCAAGTTCGGTTAGTTTTTTGTATCTAATTTTTTTAACTCTAATTTTTTTTGAAAAAAAACTATGAAAAAATCATTAAAAACGTCATATCTCGAAAACCAAAAGGATTTGAGCAGTCATACTTGAACTCCAGATTTGCAACCTATAATTTTACCCTGACAGCACTCCACTATAGTGTTGAGAAATTGAATTTCGTTTAATTTTTTTTTTATATCCAAGTTTTTTGAACAAAGAAAAATGAAAAAAAAAACAATGAAAACGCTATTTCTCGAAAACCAAAAGGATTTGAGCAAACATATCGAGACTCCCGATTTGAACCCCAAGTTGTACCCTAACAGCACACCACTATAAGGTTGAGAAATTGAAGTTCGGTTAATTTTTTTATATCTAAGATTTTTGAAAAAAAATTAAAAAAATCATAAAAACACCATTTCTCGAGAACCAAAAGGATTTGAGCAGTCATAGTTGGACTCCAGATTTCCAACTTCTGAAAGTACCCTGATAGCCTCCCACTATATGGTTGAGAAATTGAAGTTCGGTTAATTTTTTTTATATCTAAGATTTTTGAAAAAAAAAATGAAAAAATCACAAAAAACGCAATTTCTCGAAAACCAAAAGAATTTGAGCAGTCACACTTTGACGCCAGATTTGCAACTCCTGAAAATACCCTGACAGCACCCCACTATATGGTTGAGAAATTGAAGTTCGTTTAATTTTTTTTATATCCAAATTTTTTTTGAAAAAAAAAATCATAAAAAACGCCATATCTCGAAAACCAAAAGGATTTGAGCAGTCATAGTTGAATTCCAGATTTCCAACTTCTGCATGTACCCTGATAGCCCCCCACTATATGGTTGAGAAATTGAAGTTCGGTTAATTTTTTTATATCTAAGATTTTTGAAAAAAAAATAATTAAAAAAATCATAAAAACACCATTTCTCGAGAACCAAAAGGATTTGAGCAGTCAAAGTTGACTCCAGATTTCCAACTTCTGAAAGTACCCTGATAGCCTCCCACTATATGGTTGAGAAATTGAAGTTCGGTTAATTTTTTTTATATCTCAGATTTTTGAAAAAAAAAGAAAAAATCACAAAAAACGCAATTTCTCGAGAACCAAAAGGATTTGAGCAGTCATAGTTGGACTCCAGATTTCCAACTTCTGAATGTACCCTGATAGCCCCCCACTATATTGTTGAGAAATTGAAGTTCGGTTAATTTTTTTATATCTAAGATTTTTGAAAAAAAATAATTAAAAAAATCATAAAAACACCATTTCTCGAGAACCAAAAGGATTTGAGCAGTCATAGTTGAATTCCAGATTTCCAACTTCTGCATGTTCCCTGATAGCCCCCCACTATATGGTTGAGAAATTGAAGTTCTGTTAATTTTTTTATATCTAAGATTTTTGAAAAAAAATAATTAAAAAAATCATAAAAACACCATTTCTCGAGAACCAAAAGGATTTGAGCAGTCATAGTTGGACTCCAGATTTCCAACTTCTGAATGTACCTTGATAGCCCCCCACTCTATGGTTGAGAAATTGAAGTTCGATTAATTTTTTTTATATCTAAGATTTTTGAAAAAAAAAAATGATAAAATCACAAAAAACGCAATTTCTCGAATACCAAAAGAATTTGAGCAGTCACACTTTGATGCCAGATTTGCAACTCCTGAATTTACCCTGACAGCACCCCACTATATGGTTGAGAAATTGAAGTTCGGTTAATTTTTTTTTATATCCAAGTTTTTTTTTGAAAAAAAAATCATAAAAAACGCCATATCTCGAAAACCGAAAGGATTTGAGCAGTCATAGTTGAATTCCAGATTTGCAACTTCTGAATGTACCCTGACAGTCCCCACATTATATGGTTGAGAAATTGAAGTTCGGTTATTTTTTTTATATTCAAGTTTTTTGAAAAAAAAAAGACAAAAATCTTGAAAACGCAATTATTCGAAAACCAAAAAGATTTGAGCAGTCATACTTGGACACCAGATTTGCAACCATGAATGTACCCTGACAGCACCTCACTATAGGGTTGAGAAATTCAAGCTCGATTAGTTTTTTAATATCTAAGTGTTTTGAAAAAAAAACTAAAAAAACATAAAAACGCCATTTCTCGAGAACCAAAAGGATTTGAGCAGTCATAGTTGAATTCCAGATTTCCAACTTCTGCATGTTCCCTGATAGCCCCCCACTATATGGTTGAGAAATTGAAGTTCGGTTAATTTTTTTATATCTAAGATTTTTGAAAAAAAATAATTAAAAAAATCATAAAAACACCATTTCTCGAGAACCAAAAGGATTTGAGCAGTCATAGTTGGACTCCAGATTTCCAACTTCTGAATGTACCTTGATAGCCCCCCACTATATGGTTGAGAAATTGAAGTTCGATTAATTTTTTTTATATCTAAGATTTTTGAAAAAATAATAATTAAAAAAATCATAAAAACACCATTTCTCGAGAACCAAAAGGATTTGAGCAGTCATAGTTGAATTCCAGATTTCCAACTTCTGCATGTTCCCTGATAGCCCCCCACTATATGGTTGAGAAATTGAAGTTCGGTTAATTTTTTTATATCTAAGATTTTTGAAAAAAAATAATTAAAAAAATCATAAAACACCATTTTTCGAGAACCAAAAGGATTTGAGCAGTCATAGTTGGACTCCAGATTTCCAACTTCTGAATGTACCTTGATAGCCCCCCACTATATGGTTGAGAAATTGAAGTTCGATTAATTTTTTTTATATCTAAGATTTTTGAAAAAAAAAAATGATAAAATCACAAAAAACGCAATTTCTCGAATACCAAAAGAATTTGAGCAGTCACACTTTGATGCCAGATTTGCAACTCCTGAATTTACCCTGACAGCACCCCACTATATGGTTGAGAAATTGAAGTTCGGTTAATTTTTTTTATATCCAAGTTTTTTTTTGAAAAAAAAATCATAAAAAACGCCATATCTCGAAAACCGAAAGGATTTGAGCAGTCATAGTTGAATTCCAGATTTGCAACTTCTGAATGTACCCTGACAGTCCCCACATTATATGGTTGAGAAATTGAAGTTCGGTTATTTTTTTTATATTCAAGTTTTTTTGAAAAAAAAAAGACAAAAATCTTGAAAACGCAATTATTCGAAAACCAAAAAGATTTGAGCAGTCATACTTGGACACCAGATTTGCAACCATGAATGTACCCTGACAGCACCTCACTATAGGGTTGAGAAATTCAAGCTCGATTAGTTTTTTAATATCTAAGTGTTTTGAAAAAAAAACTAAAAAAACATAAAAACGCCATATCTCGAACAATATAATGATTTGAGCAGTCATACTTGAACGCCAGATTTGCAACCCCTAAATGTACTAAACAGCACCCCACTATATAGGAATGTATAGAACGTATGTATATATAAAATTTTCAAAGCTTGCAATTTTTTGGCTTTTTAACAGACTAACAGACTTAAACACGAGCCAAATGAAATTTCTTAAGCATTTTAACCTACGGTATAGCTTAAACGTGCAAAAACATTTTCATTAAAAATGCAAAAAATAATACGTTGAAAAAACTTAAACATGCAAAAATAGGGACTTCTTAAACACGTCAACATAGGGACTTCTTCAACATGTGTCACGTGAAACACCAATTAAATAATAGATCGATAGATAATAGATAGATAGATAGAAAACACTTTTTTTTACATGCACAGCAACCGGCTATCCGAGTTATTTTTTGGAATCTTCGTTCCGACCAATAGAACCTATATATGATACGAAATTAGACAGCATACAAGCTTTCGTTTACACCGTCAAATCGGGCGGGAAAAAACACTAGCTACTCCATAGTTCCTTCGGTTACTTTCAGTGAAATGGTCGGATAAAAACAAATTCCATGCAGTTAAAAATTAAGTTCTGCAGGGAGAAACTACTGATACCGGCAAAACTGGTCTTTTCAAATGGTCTTTTCCTGAAGCTCAAAACTTTTATAACGATTTTTCGAATATATCAGTTCTTTAGCTCTACATCACAGGTTCGTGTACCGAAAAAAAAAATTCACCATCGTATGAAAATCTTCATCATATGAGACCATACAGAAAGAATCGCCAAAATATTTGCTCATTTTTTGTTCATTCGACAATTTCATTTTACAACCGCCTTGAGCACTTCTTTAAACTTCTCAACACGTTGCATGCTCGTAAAACGTTTCGTAGCGTTTCAAAGACTCGTTTGTTGTTTGGGGTCGAACAAAGTTTAAGGCTTGTTCAAAGTCTGATTCCAAAAGCTTGTCATCAACTGAGCTGCATTCAAAACTTCTTCTCAAAGCATTCATTGCAGCTTCATCGCATAACGCGCAAATTTCGGCCCCTGAAAAACGTTCTGTTTTTCGAACCATATTCTCCACAAAATTTTCATTATTTAGGACCAAAGCTGGCATTCGGCTAATTTTTAGCTTTACAATTTGTCTCCTAGTTTCAGAGTCCGGTAACGCCACGTAAAATAATTTATCAATTCTTCCTGGACGCAGCAAAGCTTTGTCTATGATATCAGGTCGGTTAGTTGCTGCAACAATAACAACATTTTCTAGTTTTTCTACACCGTCTAATTCTGTTAACAACTGAGTTAGAACTCGATCTGAAACATTGTTGTTAGCAGAATTTCCACGAGAAGACGCAATTGCGTCAATTTCATCGAAGAAGATGATAACAGGCGCTGCTTGGCGAGCTCTTTGGAATAACCTTCGAATCGCCTTTTCAGATTGACCAACATATTTGTCATAAATTTCAGGTCCCTTAACGCTCAAAAAATTCAAACCTGTTTCATTTGCAAGTGCTTTGGCGATCATTGTTTTTGAGCAACCCGGAGGACCATATAAAAGCAAGCCTCTCGGAGGATTGATCCCAAATTTGGCGAATTTTTCAGGATTTTTGACAGGCCATTCTATGCACTGTTTTAGTTTCGACTTAAGCTCATCTTGGCCGCCTATGTCAGACCATGTAACATGAGGAATATCTAAAACTATTTCCTTCATTGCCGAAGGTTTTACTCTTCTGAGAGCCTTTTTCAAGCTATGCAAAGAAACTAAGCCGTCCGTGTTTTCCTTTGATGCAAATTTCAAAACTGATATTAGATCAGAGGCTATGTAGCTATGCGCATCTTGGCTGAACGCTTCGAGATCTTCGTCTAAGAAAATAAAGTGAGAAAATAGTTTTTCCTGAATCTTCCGAACTAATTCGAATCTGCATTTTTGATCTGGTGGTGGAATTTCAAATTCGTGTTCGAAGTAGCCAACTCTTCTAAGGCAGGGATCCGTATTCTCATTGTCAGTAGTAGTGCCTATTACAAGAACATTTCTATCGACAGAACTTCTCAACTTATCAAAAAATTGTCTGATCACTTTGACAGGATTTTGGTCTGCAGCGTCACCTCCGGACATGATTTTTGATTTATTATGAGCTGACAATATAAAATGAAGATCATCTAAAATATAAACAAGAGGCTGATTTTCCTTCAATTTTTTCAACAATTGTGGACTTGCTTCAATCTCAGTGCAAATAGACGCGCCATAAGTTTCAAGTTCGCCAGCTATGCATTTAGCCAAAAACGTTTTACCAACACCGGATACACCATGAAGCATTATTCCACATACATGGGACATCGACTGCTTAGTCTTCAAAGGTTGGATGATTTCAGTTTTCAATCTGGTGACCAAGTCGAGGTAGCCACCAAAATCACTAAGACTTAGTTTACACTTTTCTGTCTCGCTCGGTAGATTACCATCAAGTTCAATAACAATTTCACTAGAATCATTCACACAAGCAAACTTTTCACAATTTTTAGAAGAATCAGTTACTTCAAATAAATTGTTCATCTTGCTCTCCAAAGACTGCCAAGATTCAATAAGCAAAGAGCAAGTAATTGAGTAAATTGACAATAAAGTGGATTGTCCCGTGTAAATAGTAGAGTCCAGAAGTGACTGGCGAACCATGTTTCTTATTAAATCCGAGTTCAAAACCATCGGGCTTTGCCCTAGTTCCCCGAATCTTACTTTAACTTTCACGAGTATTGCAGTCTCAATGCAGGAAGTCAAAATTGGACAAACACGAAAATAGTCTTCATTTGATAATGCAAGTTTATGATTATTGAGGGGCAGCATAACTTTTCCAGGGCCAACTTCAGAAGATGGTAGGCATCGGACAACGGTAGAAAAAGTGCCATTACGAGAAGTTACGAAACACCATGACCCTATTATTAGATTCAAATTACACATGGTTTCGAAAGATAACTTGAGATAATCTTTTTGTGAATTTTCTGGATTCGTCAGACAATCTTTAGTCAGAAGGACAGATATTTTACTTTCAAAAATGATGCAAGGCATATCAAATATCTCGCAAGCATGTTTTTCTTTAGCTTTCTGTAACATTTTGCGTTTACAGTCTATGCATTCGAACCATTCATTTCTTGATTTTTTCTTGGACGACGGCTGACTGCGGCTCATATCCTAACTTTAATTTAAAGGATTTCAGTTCAAATTAATAGACGGTCGTTGCTCATCTTTCTGACCTAGAAAAGCGCGCTTTCTGATGTGAAAAATTTAGGGCAAAGTATCATTTTCAGAAAGAAAAGTTGAAACATTTTGCCGCCTATTATTTCAGTGCTAGCATTAACGTCAAAGTTAGCAAATCAAGAGCAAATTTTACATTATCTTTTTTTTGTTTCAAGAGTGAAAACTGCAGGTTGCCAGACTCTCATCCATTTTCAAACACAGAGGATGACAATTCTCTGGATGCTTTAAAATCGACTTGATTTATTCATAAAATTTTGCCGATGTATTTATATAGCGTTGGTATGGCTATGGCCCTATCCAACCTGTGCACGGATCGTCGCATGACGGAAGGTCCTATTTTAATTACCCCCTTTAAAACAAAATTTGTAACAGTCGCCTACTTTAGTCACATATGAGGCTTAAGAAAAATAGGCCCTATAACCATTGGCTCAAGAGTCAGGGACACTATCTCTTGTGTTTTTCCGCCTCAAGAACGGTCGGAGCCAATTCGGTTCGCTTGCGACATGAGACTGGAACCCATTACAGCTTAAAGGCCACTACCAAAATACCCCCCCACTCTAGAAATAAAAACGTCCCCATACTTAGGTCTCGGGATACCCAAAATACATGAACGCCGTTAAAAACCGGGTCGGAACAATCCGCTTAGTTACTTTTTATTGGACAGTGGAACTTTGATCCATTTCAGATGGATCAACCTAAAACTCGCCTTATCTCAACATAACTATCATAAAATACACTCGAGAAATTTAAATTGGAACTTACATATCGACGCACTTGAGTATGAGGAGTAAGTTATAACTGAGCAGCTTGAGAATTAAATAATATAACTAAATAAGTTTTAAGGCCAATTAGTTTCAATAACAGAAGTAAGTTTTGTCTCTAGAATCAAAGTCTCTGAATGAACCCTTTGGACACTCGAGTTGTCCACTCTTCCATTCAGAGTCCACTCCTTTCCATTCGAATAATTGTTCTGTCTCAAGTCCGTATTCGATTCTCCTGTTTTCAGGACAAGACAGCTCTACTCTCTTGATATTTCGTATCGAGAAATTGCGAATAGCAATTTCCTGCCTTTTTCTTGAGTAGTTTCCCGCAATTGTTAATTCGGGTGTTCTGATTTCTGACTTTTTCATTTTCAGTTGGTTCGAGAAAATTGAGCATGACATGCTCAATTCGAATTTTGCAAAATTAAAATTTCACTCCAAAATTGCGTATTTCTCAAGGTCAAACCCCCAGACATGACCGACTGGCACATACTCCCCGGACTCGAGATCGATGTCCTCATCGTGTGTTGTCATCTGCCAATAAGTCCCAGAGAACCGAGTGTTGCTCAAGATACAGTGCCAGTGGTCATTTACAGAAGTTTGCATCGAACTTAAGCTTATCTACCTTGCAAAATTCACGACCATGTAAAATTTTCACACTATCGCTAAACAGCAACCAAAATCTGCACACACCTGCACCTGTGAATTTTCGCTTTTTAAGCTAGTAATTTAAAATTTCTTTTGTCCTATTTCAGTCAGAGAATTGTCATGCATCAATTTGATTTATATACTAGATCTATCATATTAATAACAATATCTTATTCGTCTAAAATTTCTTTTCCGTGAACCCAGATTTTATCCAAGTTCACGCTCAAGCCCCCTCCCTCTCAAGACTCAAGACTCTAGAATTTCCTTTCGAGCCACTGGCTCACCTCATGTTCTTCGCCTTCGAGGTACCTGATACCGGTGTTCTTGGCACTGTAATTTGTTCCAATAGTGCCTCTTCGTCATCGGAGCTAATCACAATTTCCTCCCAGGCCTTCAGCTGTTCATAGGCTCGCATCCACTCTCTCTGCTCTTGCAACCTTTTCAATTGACTTGGTAGGCCTTTCACCTTCGACTCCCGGTTCAAGCAGAAGGAGTTATGAAGACTCAAGCTCACATTCCTCGCCAGGTCCTCCTCCAGTATCGTTTCCCTCGCTCTAGAATTGTCTCTGGATATTCTGCCTACTCTTTTCCACCCCGCCGTGATTGCGTTTCGATGGGTTAGCAGAGGTCTCTTAAAGGCATCTGGCCCTATTTCAGCTTGGAATTGTCGATATTCCTTCTGATGTTTCCTCATGTGGTCCTTTGTCACTGCATACAACCAGGATGTTAACGTCGCACGAAACCAAGGAAAGAATCTCAGGCGGCTCCATATGTGTCTGACTTGCACTGGTATGGCGAATACCTTGCATGCAGTCTCGAACAACTCCAGTCTCCTGCTGTAATCTATCGCATAAATCGATTCAGCTGTTGGCGCTCTCGATTCTCTGTACTTCGCTATATTCTCCTCAATCCATCTCAGAGCCAGCATCGTGCTTACCACTAAGATGGTCACCTTTTGTCGATACTCCGGTAGTCCTAGCGACTTAATTTCTTCTACGTCCCAGATCAGACAGAGATTGGCGCGGTCCGGGTACCACACTGTCTGCGCCAGACAGTGGCATGGACAATCCCCATGCGTGAGGTCGATGCTTCTAAGGTTGCGTTCTCCCGAAGCTTCTAGGAGAGGCTCAAGTTCCATCATTTTCTCATGCACCACGTCGACTTCTTCCGAGCTTGAAGCACCTACTGCGGGTTTCCCCACCACGTTCTGCTTCCCATGATCACTTGCATTTTCGCTCTCCAAGCCTAGAAGTTCTTCACCCCAGATTTCACTCAAGTCATCTCTTTGCTCCTTTGGTACTGCTCCTCGGATCTTCCTCAATAGCTTGTGTGAGTGGTGTGACATCCGAGCTAGTCTCACGCACTTGGGCACTGAGAAGGCTTTGTCTATCATCACCCTCTGGCTGGACACCTCCACCATCGCCATGTGTAGTGGATAGTGGCTCCCACATAGGTTAGCCAACACTGATCCCACTAAGGATTTTGCATTTAGAGGCAATCCATAGGCTTCGCTCATGGGAAATCCCATCTCTGCCTCGAGTCCGATCTTCCAACTCTTGATGTGCTTCTGGTTCACTTGTAGCACTCCGGGCCATGATTCCACGCTTAACGCGGTCACCAGGTGATGTTCTGACTCTAGCCTCTCCAGTGACTGGAGACTGCACATTCTTGAGAAGAATCCCAAGGCTGTCGCTAGGTTCACGGTGGTCCTCGCGTAACATTCAGCCACTATCTGTACCTCACTCTTCTCCCTTTCAGTGATATCTTCAAACCAGGTAGTGAGGTCCTCTTTCTGGAAAGATTGTATCCTGACGCATAATCGTCCATCACAAATATGTTCGCCGTTACTGCATGTCGAATCAAGACAACTGCCCGGCTCCATCCTCCTCACCGGCTCTGTTCCACTTGTCACCTCACTTGATTCTTTCACCTGAGGCAAGATCAGTTTGTGTACTATGCTCAAGATCGCCAAGTCCTCATCCTCTGTCGGTGCCAATCTCACTCGCTCAGTGACCTCCTCAATCATACTTGCATGGGGATGTGGACACCAGGAAGGTCTGAGTAATTTCCATACCACTCCCAGGTTCGTGATCAACGTGCCACTCCCATCACCCATTCTTAGCTCCACTCTTTTACTTGAGCGTGGCACACTTATCACTCCCGGCATCCCCTCAAGAACCAGACCCAGGCTAGGTCTCTCTCTCTCCACAACGTCTATCTCCACTATCTTCTCTGTCCAGAACTTCAACAGCTCCGCCACTTCATAATTTCTGTTGGCTCCTCCAGCTTCCAGGTCCAAGAAGGGGTTGTACGCCATTCCCATTACTCCAGAAACATATTGGTACTCTCCCTTTCTGTTGAGTTTCAAGTACTCCCCTGACGAAGCCAGGTTGCGGTGAACGTCGTGCTCCTCTTCGAACTTCTTGTTGTAGAACCTCCGTATCTCATCCAACTTCCTATGGTTCTCCAGAGATTGCCTAGAACCATCCTCCCCCTCTATCCCAGTGCTCTGATACACATTCAAGATGACTGTGGAGACTCTCCTTTCCAACGTCTTGCTTGCGACTGCTTTCTGATGACAGGCTAGGATGGTACTGTCAGTCATCATCGACATCGTCCACCTCAAGAAACAGGTTGCATCCTTCCTCCTTGCCAGACTCAAGCCTGAGTTGTCCTTGGCAACGTGCTGCATCAACATTCGGTATATCTCTAGATTTTTTCCTCCCAGCTTCAACTTGTCGTATGAAGTCAGCGTTTCCAGCTCTATCCCCAACAGGCTCCACGCGAACATCAGTTGTCCTGCAGTCCTGATAAAGGGATTCGCCATCAGTGGTGGTGCCGATGAGGATGTCCTCATCGCCTCTTCAAAATGATCCTTCAATAAGTTCTGCCAGGATCTCTTCAGCTGGTTTGCCAACTCTATCTTGTTGACCTCAGCCTTCTGCTGGGTGGCCCAGCTGTATCGTTTGCGAGCCACTCCACTGTTCAACTTCTTCAAACAGCCTTCCATCTCCTTCAATGTCTCGAGAGCTATCCACCATGGTCGGGAGGTGTTTCTGGTTTTACTTTTCTCAAGTGGATCACTGGTCACTTGCTTCCCGACAGCGTGATGTTCACTTGAGACCCATTCTTTGCCAACATCTACTTCCCAGGTCTGCCCGCTCGTCGAACCTCGCTTCATTTTTATTCTTTGAGGTTTGAAATCCTCCTCCGTCACTGAACTAGTGGGATTCTCCATTTCTTTTTCTATGTCGAGCAGTTTCCTCGGTTCGTAGCTACTCTTGTAGGCTGCCGTTTTCCATCGCGCCAGAACCATGGGAGCCGTCTCTCTCAAGTCTTTTTCCGAGACCGCGTCAGCTGAAGGACTGCCCATTCCCTCCACGTCTCTCTTCCTCTTGCGAGACTTCACGTCTTTGCTTGGGGGCGTCATTGGTATCATCACTGATTCAACTTCCTTTTCTCCAGCCAACTCTTGCCTCCCCCCTGCTCGAGCCTTAAGGATATTAGTACTTTTAATCATATTACTAGTTCCTACCTTATCCCCCCTTGTACACTTAATTATTTTATTGTCAGTTTTCTGTTTCGGAGTAGAGCTGTC